CCAAAGAGGAACAGCGCTCGCTTCTGACTCCGGCCTGCCTCTCTATCCGTAAGGCCTAGCCAAACAGGAATAGCGCTCGCTTCTGACTCCGGCCCGCCTCTCCGACCGGAAGGCCTGGGCCAAACCTGGCCAAAGAGGAACAACGCTCGCTTCTGACTCCGGCCCGCCTCTCCAACCGGAAGGCCTGGCCAAAGAGGAACAGCGCTCACTTCCAACTCCGGCCCGCCTCTCTGATCGGAAGGCCTAGGCCAAACGCCGCTTCCAAACTGCGACCCGCGTCTCCAACCGGGGACGCACCAAACCCCTGCTTACAGCTCTTCTCCGACTAGCGCAGTCGGAGCCAACTGGGGCCAACCGTCCGGGGACGCCCGCTTGGTGAGGACCAGGAAATAGACGGAGTAAGTAAGGCAGGGCACTCAAGTCAACCGGAATACCAAGGACTGTACCTACACACCTGTAGGACAGTAACTGACAGGACATGTCAGAAGGGTGCCCTACAACCTTCCAGGCATGACAGAACCCAAGCAGTGTTGTGGGCATCGACATTTACCCTACAGTGTTGTGGGCGCCATCAACTCCCATACCAGACAAACGCGGTAAGGCTCTCCCCACATGCCTCTGACATCGATAGTGTTGTGGACACCGTCATCTACCATACATGGTGAATACGGTAAAACCTCCCACATGCGTCTGACAACAATACTGTTATGGGCGCCTACCATCATCTTGTACCCGACGATGTGGACAACAAGACTTGGTAGCATGTGTACTCTCTCTCTCGCTTGTAAGGCCGTCCCCTTCATCTATAAAAGGGGATGCGCTCTCTCCCAATAGAAGATCCCTCAGTTCACTTACATTGATTCACCCTCTGTAGCTTTAGACACTCTAAAGCTACACAGAGCGCACGCTCAAAAACTTAGCACATAGCGGAGCTCCCCTCACTCTCGGCCCTTTAGATCGGAGTCCGACCAGACCTCTTGTACCCCCTATCTTTCTCCGTTCCTTTTGTAACCCCACAGCAAACTTTGAGCACCTGAGCTCAGGAATAAAGTCACCGACTGACTTAAACTGGACATAGGGCACGTTGCCTGAACCAGTATAAACCCTGTGTCATTGAGTGCTAGGCCACCTCTAATCACAACGTACAACAAAACTACGAATATTTACATGTTGGTCACTTTCTGCACCGACAGACAGTGCATCCAATCAAGGCGGCCATGGTAGTGAAGGAAGCTCCTAGTTCGAGTGTTCCTGTATTGAAAAATCTAGAAGAAGATTTTCACCTTTGTAGGGGTGAAGCCAACCCAGATGACGTCATTGAATGGTGATGCTATAGCCCTTGGTTTGCATAGGATGGCACAGAATACATTACTTGTCGCCGCTACAAGTAGTACACGGGGATACCAAATATTTCCCATCTGTGAAATTTTCATTGCGTTGTGTATGTAGTGATCCCATTACCAAAGCGTGCTCTATGGGCCCACATGGGAGAATTGGGATCTCCATGGGATACTAATCTCTGTCAATTATCAAGCACATCGAAGGGAACCTATTAGCGGCCCGCCTCTCCACCTCCTGCACTGTGTCCTCTTCTTCTTCCTCCTTCTCTTGCCTCCTCCTCACTCGTCAGGTCCTCCATCCTCCTCTACCGCCACGTTGGCTCTTATTCAATCTACAGCGTCGTCCTGTTCATTCTGCAACGCCTCCTCCTCCCTCCTCCATGCTATGCTAGCTCCTCTTTTGAGTGTTAGCACCACCTCCTTCCAAGCCACAGGCAAGCCTAGAGATAGAGGGAGGAGGACACGTCTACTATGGTTTTGGTGGTGGCCGTAGAAATGGGAGAGGAAAGAGGCAATGTTAATTAAGCTAGGCATGACAAACACTCTCTTGACTTTTAATTTTCTACTAGGTAGCGTGCTCGTGCGTTGCTACAGGATAACTAAATCTTTTATACTAAAAACACACGGATCACACGATAAGATAACAATACTGTTAAATTAAATACCGACATTAAAGTGACATTTAATTCAAAAAGCAAAGTTCGTAAAATTAACACAGTCACGAAGAGCGTGGCGTCGCAGGCTCACAAACTCTAATGTATAGATTTTTTCGTGATATGGCTAAGATAATATTTTATATCGATAGAAAGAAATCTCCGATATCATTTCTTTCATGCGCCAATAAATCCATGAATAAGTTTTGCTGTATCTCCATATAATCCTGTACACACAGGTTTGAGTATATATGTAAATATTAGTGCTTGTCACATGAATAATACTGTGTGTCTTAAAAAATCTCTTATAAAATTTTAAAACAAAGTATGTTATACTCACCGTATAAATATGTGTGGCTTTAGGACTATTCCACACAGACATATATTGTAGAATAAGGTATTCACTTGAGTGTCTGTTCTAAGATATTGAATTAGGTGTTGTAATTCTTAATTTCGACATATTTTTTAGGTCAAGGCAACCAATGGTGACACTTTTCTTAGTGGTGCATAATTTTACGGTGCACCTCTTGACTATTTGAGTAAGGACAAGTTAGCACTGCAAAGGCTCAGAAAAGCTGCTGAGAAGACCAATGTTGAGTTTTCCTCCACTATGCATACTAAAATCTATGTCCCCATTTATCATTGCCGATGCTTTTGATGCAAAGCAATTCAATATTACTCTGATCAGATATAAGTTTGAGTCTCTTGTGAGCAATCTTATAGAGGGACTCATTCTTTATGTGATCTGCCTCAAGGATATTGGCAGGACGATAGACCCATGTTGGAATGTCGCACCAAAAAGTGTCCACGTTTTGTCCACGATTTATTTTCTATGAATACATGCGGGTACTATGATAACACTAACTACACCAAATGAAAGATTAGAGAGAATTTGTGTTACCTCTAGAAAGATTTATTTATTAAGTTCTTTGGACTCTGCAGGTAGTTTTGAAATATTTGTTTGCATGTCTTACCTCGTATCCTAATTTAAATTTTTGTAGTTTAATTAGAATATTTAGGTGATTGTATATATATAATATTCACTACAAGAATAATCTATGCATGATCTTCTTGATAGATTTCTACAGTGTAAAGACATCTTCATTTTTCATGTATGCCCGTGCTAACGCTACGGTAAAAACAAAAGGACAATATATCAATTAAAAAATAAAAACAAAACTCATGTTCAAAATCAAAGAGATAAATTATGGATGCTTGAATTTTGTCATCTATTATCTACGGACGTGCCTATAAAATAGACTGAATAAACAATTAAACATAGATAGAAAACTAAATTAATAAAAGGATCATTGCAAGACATCAATCATCTCATAGCTTCGGACAATATCGTCAAGCTACTAAAAACTGTAACTATGCCGTCACCTCAAATATTGTCCAAATAAATGGATTACAATGAAAAAAATGAATATCGGAGATTTCTTCCTATCAATATAAAACATTATCTTAGTCGCATCACGAAAAGGTCAATAAAGTAGAGTTTGTGAGCCTGCGACGCCGCGTACTCCGTGACTGTGTTAAATTCATAAACTTTGCTTTTTAGATTAAATGTCACTTTAACGTTGGTATTTAATTTTTATAGTATTGTTATCTTATCGTGCGATCCGTGTGTTTTTAGTATAAATTGTTAGTTATCCCATAGCAACGCACGGACACGTTACCTAGTATAAATATAAAGAATGAAAAAGACGACAAGAAAGATTGGCATTAGGCCAACTCCTTTTGATTCTTTATAAACACATCTAAAAGTTAACATGTGGGCTGTGGGCATCAAATCAAAACAACAAAAAGAACATGGATTCGACCATAAGTAGCATTTGCCCTCTTTTTTTTGAAAAAAAAAGGTACTTACAGAATTGTTAATTTTATCAGCACCATCAATTTTTGGCAATTGTAGAACTCAACCAAGACACCCATTGAAGTGCTACATCCCTAGCTCGCAACTCAATTAAGAGTAAGTTCTCGCAAGCCTACCTCCCCAGCCATTATTAAACTACATGAAGAGCTCCGAAATGAAGACCACTATTTGAAAAAGAGTAAATGATTATTGTTTCCTTCCATGCATGATTGTTTTCTTCCATGTATGATTATTGTTTTCTTCTATGCATGATTGTTTTCTTCCATGCATGATTGTTGTTTCCTTCCATGCATGTGGCATCAGGTGATCGATTTGTTTTCTTCGAAGCAGGCGGAGATCGTAGGGATGGCAGTTTCTTTTTCTATCGCGTGAGGTATCGCACGGGGTGGGCAGACGAACGAATCAAAACAAATGTCGCAACAAAAAATATCCACGCTTTGTTCTTTTTAGCTGTAGGAGATGAACACCCGGTGCAAAACTGGCTTAACAAAAAAAACGCTTCTTAAAATAAGAGCATCCAAACATGGCCTATATATTTGTATCTGCAGTTTTTCACATATGAGTTTTTAAATATATGGGTTTTTATTTAAATGAGATACAAAGATATAATGATTCTATATCACACCATTTGTTTGTCATGATTATTTTCTCCTTATTTTTCTACTCATCCATTCAAGAGGCTGTTAAGGACTACAATTATTCAGTTAACCATGTCGCTAAAGGAAGCTGTCCTTCGGTAATAGTGGTGGCGAATTGTTGCTTTGCCGCTTCAGGTTAAGTTGTCAGTTCATCACACTCCTTCAAATGAGATCAATGATTACATTTAACTCTTAACAGCAAAGAAAGAGTAGCGGACACGCGGCGCAAGCACATGATACACCAACGACAGACGGAGGCCCTCGCCGGCCTTTGTTGACTCTACAAGCGTTGGAAATTCTAACTTGACGAAGTCAAAAGGAAAAGCAGGGAAGCGAAATCTGCTGACTTGGCTAATTGCTAGAAACTCAACTGAGCTTCGGACCGTGTTCTGTTACAAACTTACAATCATATGAAGCATGCATACGATTCAAATTCACACCATGCATCATGCAAATCATATTCGTTTGCCTGACGAACTAGAAGCTACTACAGTTACATACACAACTTCTGACGCTTGCTCCTTGGTGACACTGACACCGGGTGCTGAGGCTTCTTCTCTGCAGCGCAATTTGCACAGATGACAGTATAAGGCGGCAGCCTTGATTTCCAAACCAACCGAAATCGATCAGGCAGGATCTCAGCGCCCGCTATTGTGTCCCCAAACGACATCGTCGGCAACACTTCTGCGCCGTCGTCCGAAGCACCACCACCCTTCGCAGCTGTCGTCGTCGTCAGCAGCACCAGCCGGAACGACGCCGCCGCCCCAGACAGCGGCGAGAACTCGGTGATGTCAACCGCGCTGCCGTCTCTCTCGAGAAGAGTCGTCGGATGCTCACCGAACACGGCCAGATTCCTGCGTGCCATCGCTCTGAAGAGCTCCAGGACACGCGTCCAGAGACGGACGCTGAGGCTGCTCCTGAGCACGGAGGCGTACACGTTGAGCATGACGAGCGAGCCCCGGAACACCGTCGCCAGCTCCCTCCCTAGCAAGGCTAGCCGTGGGTGGTCCGCCGGGTCGGCGCTGCCGAACGCGAGCACCTTGAACAGGTACCTGTACTCCTCGCGCGACAGGCTGCCGATCCGCACCGGGCTCACCGTCCCAAACCTGGCGAGTTTCTCCAGCCTGCTTATGATGATCACCTTGCTTCCTGGACCTGTGGATGCTACCAGCAACGACTGAAACTTGAGCCATTCCTCGTCAGCCACGTCCGAGGCAAACTCGACGGTGACCAGAGTCCTGACGTACCTGCAGAACTTTTCTTCGTAGTCGATTCTCTGAATCTCGTCTCCGCTGAAATGGAGGATGCAAGGGTAGCAGGAACGGATCCTGTCGTCGCTGCAGATGTTCCAAACCAAAGTCTTCTTGCCGACCCTGCAGCCTCCAATGATAGGCAGCACGGTTATTGCCGCCCCAGTAGGCCTAGACGGGTCATCATCCTCCTTCGTAGTCAAGATGGTGATCACTTGCTGCTTCTCAACTTGGCGACCAAACATGAAGTTGTCGATGTAGAGATAGCTACTGTAGGGGCTGCGAGACATGCGTCGTTCGCATCCCGTTAAAAGCACGACGAATTCAGCCATGCTAGCCACAGTGGTTTCTAAGTTTCTAACTGTGCTCTCTACCTGATGATGCTTAAGAGGCCTCAGACTCAGAGCACCGGATTTCGCCAAATCATCAGCGCGTCGTCTGGTGATGACTGCGAAAGGCGGCCATGTGTGGTGAAAACCACTCACCTCCTCCTCTGCTTCATCTCCGAGCTGCTCCAACGGCATGCAGGTGTCCAGCACATCGTACCCTCGAAACATGGCCTCTGTCAGAGTCCTGAGCTGCGCCAGCATCCCTGAGTTGGACACGTACCGTCCCTCGGCCTCCTCGACGATGGTGTGAGCTCTGAGAAGGAGACGCTGCAGCTCTTGTAGGTTTTGCTTCAGACATGTGCTGCTGCTGTACTGCTTGGAAAGGAAGGAGATGAACCGGCTCACTAGCTCGCTTGCTACTGCAGAAATGACAATACTAGTGTCCATTTTCTTTTTTTTTATCTTTCTTCTGTGTGCGTCGTGTGTTGATGTGTTCCTGTTCCTCCCTTCCCTTGAGGGTACTCTATAAATACAGAGCAAAGCGGGCTGGTGACCTGGCGTACGTATAGCTTACGGCTGATACGTGGCGTCACGCGCATGGTGCCTCCCAATGCAATTATTTTTGACGTGATACTTGTCAATCTCCACTACTACTGACGGTGTGAGATGCTTAACAATTTCCACGGTTTTGACGTTCCCACTGTTGACCGGTGAGCAGAACTATGCCGGTCAGCTTCGGAGAGACGGTCACCTACTCCCTCTGTCATAAAACAGGACATGTTCTCTTTTTAACTTTAATTAATTATTTATAAATAACATTAATATTTATAATACGTAATTAGTATCATAAGATAAATCGTTGAATATATTTTTATAATAAAATTATTTAGAGATATAAATATTACACGTATTTTATATAAACTTAGTCAAAGTTGAAAAAGTTTAACATACATGCATCCCATAATATCTTCTTTTATGGGACTGAGGGAGTAGGTGGTTAATCCCTTCGTACCAAAATAAATACTGTTATGGCATTCGTGGCGATCAATTTTTATTAAGTTTGATTAAATTTATAAAAAATAATAGTAACCTTTGTATCTCCAAATAATTTTATTATAATAATAGATTCAATGATATATCCTGTGATACTAATTATGTATTATAATCATAATTTTTTTTAATATATTTGATTAAAGTTAAAACGTCTAACTCGTGGCACTTATTTTGTGGAAGAGGGAGCGTTACTTATTAGCAACAAACACGTAGCCTTCTTTTTACTCAATCCAGATGCAGACGTTCGCATATATATGAGCATACATACTCCCTCTACCATCATACAATTCACCACTGGTGACGTGTGATACGTGGCGTCACGCGCATGGTGCCTCCCAATGCAGTTATTTGAGACGTGATACTTGTCAATCTGCACTACTACTGACGTGTGAGATGCTTAACAATTTCCACGGTTTCGACGTTCCCACTGTTGACCGGTGAGCAGAACTATGCCGGTCAGCTTCGGAGAGACGGTCACCTACTCCCTCTGTCATAAAACGGGAGATGTTCTCGCTTCCCAAAAAGCCAATATTTTTAACTTTAATTAATTATTTATAAAATAATATTAATATTTAAAATATATAATTAATATAATTAGATAGATCATTGAATATATTTTTATAATAAATTTATTTAGAGATATAAATATTACACGTATTTTATATAAACCTAGTCAAGTTAAAAAAGTTTAACCTGTATGCATCCTATAATACCTTCTTTTATGGGACTGAGGGAGTAGATGGTTAATCCCTTCGTACCAAAATAAATACTGTTATGGCATTCGTGGGATCAATTTTTATTAAGTTTAACTAAATTTATAAAAAATAATAGTAACATTTGTATCTCCAAATAATTTTATTATAATAATAGATTCAATGATATATCTGGTGATAATAATTATGTATTATAATCATAATATTTTTTTGTATATATTTGATCAAAGTTAAAAACATCAACAACTCTGTAAACGACGACGACACTTATTTTGTGACAGAGGGAGGGTTACTTATTAGCAACAAACATGTAGCCTTCTTTACTCAATCCAGATGCAGACGTTCGCATATATATGAGCATACATACTATGGCAGAACCGTCTAATCTAATGCCTCCTAAGAGTACTTGTCTTCCATTAATCAAGGGAGGACACCAAATTACGCAGTTCCGTCGAGCACACCCCAAGCAAGAACCCGAAAATCCACATTTTTCCATCAGGATCATAAATGAAAGAATAAAGCTTACATCATTATTAACCATTTCTTACATCACTTTTTATGCAACATCATAGTATAATCTTTACAGTTGATAATAGTAGAATATGATCATGTTATCAGAGTTATGAACAATTTAATTTAACAGTGAAATATAAACATGTGATCAGAGTTACAGCGGAAATAAATATTTATTCTTTACATGATGAAGCATTGATATATAAACTATGACAACATATTATAAAAGTTCCATTTATAAAATATTTAGTGAGAGTAATAAATAAAAACTATGATCGCAGCGTAAAGGAATCCTCTCTGAACCCACCAGGAGGAATCCACACAAGGGTTAGCTCTATCCACCTGACACCTACAATGAGGGAAAATAAACCCTGAGTACTCAATTGTACTCAGCAAGACTTACCCGACAGGAGGAAAGTAAAGACTCCAAAGATATGCAAGACTATATGGCTTATGGGTTTATTGCATCCACAGAAAGCATTACTAAGCGTGCGTCCTTATATTCAATTTTATTAGCAGTCATCATTAGTTCATTAACTAACAATTCTATGTAAAGCACATGTGCTACTTTCAAGCAGGTGGTAAACAATCAGAATCATTTTACCATCTTTCATCTTCCAGTTCTTACTACATTGCTAGACTGTAGACAAGCTGTACCGGATCGCCCGATAATTCGCGAATCAATGTGCCCAGCTGGGTACCCCAAAACACACGCCCCGCTTGTACCATAAGCACAAGCAGGACCAACCCACTACCCTCCTGTCATGGGGTCCAGGTCCCCGTCCAAACTTAGACTCCAAGCCCCCACACCTGAGTCCCGGACTCAGTGCGGTGTAAGGACCTTCACCCAAAAACCACCCTGAAAATCGGTCCGAAAAGAGCCAGAACCCATGACAAGAGAGTAACAAGTCTTCCATGCGCCCATACCCAAGTATGTGCTCGGAATAATAAATCTGTGACCTGCCTAGAACCTAATGCAACGACCGGTCCTTAACCGACACAGACAGGAAAAAATGTACCCAAGCTATGCCCTGTTGGTCGTAGGACACAACCTCTTACACCCATCAATACCCATACCATATCCCTGTCCGATCTCCTTTTTTCCTTTCCACCATTTTATCATGAGTGATAATAATATAGTAACAATAATAATATATTTCCTATCTCTCGCGAGTGACAGGCAATTACTCGACTTCTATCGGAGTCCTATAGCATAGCAATCTATACGATCCTGTCATACTAGTAAGACTCATAGGATAAAGATATATATATGCAAGTGGGTTTTATTGAACTCCTTAAAACTTAATGCACAAATATAATTTAAAGTGCAGAAAAGTAGGGGTTATGCATCGGGGCTTGCCTGGGTAAAATATAACTACAAGTTAGTATTCCATCTTTGTGTCCTGATCCCTGGCACCATCTTTTCAGCTACTCCGGTTGATTCTACGATCCATCATCGTTCCTATTATGGTATACAATGCGATGTAGAGATGATGCAACCGTTATTTAACAAGGCAACAACAACGCTAAAAACAGAGCACATACTACGAACTAACAAGCTGGCTCTAATGACTAGCGTACTAATCTATGTACCAACATCGTCGAGAAGGGTGTCATTTCCCAACAAGTGTTTTAGTTATACAATTCCAAGGTGTTTCTTTATTTCATTCTATCGATTTAATCATTATTCAAAATAGGGCATTATTATCTATCTAGCAAACTAATTATTCTGGAGCTACAAAAATTACAGTGAACAACTAATAATATTTGTAATTTACTGTAAAATTTTCAGAGTCAACACTATCACCAATTTCTCACAAAAATTCCTATGAGCATAGGTCTTATTAAAACTAAGCAATTTAAATTAATTATGACAACCCTAAAAATAGTACCAACTAGATGAACCAATTATACTAATAGATAGATGAAGATTTTAGGAACTCAACGAAATTGATTTCATAATCTTTACCGTTGACGCGAGAAGCTAGTTTTTGAATTTTAAATTCGATTTTTGAGCTGGCAAAAACCCTAGTTAACAATATTCGTTCTCCACAACCAAAGTTGCATTTTCATCTATTAAACTTGCACTTCAAATTTTTATTTAAGTATCAATTACAAGTTATATTTTATTTTTGTTTATAAAAATTGTTTTCATTCTCAATCAAATAAACAAGAAATTCGCTACTTATTTGCCATTAGGCATTTTTAAGCACTAGTCCATATGTCATACTAACTCGTAGAAACAAAACATCTGGGAACTAATTAACCCATTGTTCAATATAATTCGCCAAAATTGACACTTTTAAACATAAATTAAATTTTTAAAAATCCGAGAAAATTGTTTCGGTAAATCCTCTTAGGCCTAAATCTCGGTGCTAAGCAAGCTCGTAACACCAGAGGTGTTACAACCAACTGAAAGGTCCTAATATGGCTAGAGGGGGGGTGAATAGCCTATTTAAAAACTACAAATCAACTAGAGCAATTTGATTAGTAAGACAAATAGCGAAATGCAAACTTGCTCTAGCTCTACAAGGGTTGCAAGCCACCTATCCAACAATTCTAGTTGCAATGATCTATTTGCACACAATCTACTTGACCACTACTCACTAAGAGCTCTCACAAAAGCTACACTAAAGAGCTCCACTAGATATGTTTAAAGCACAAGGCAAGCTCTCAATTCTAATTACACTAAAGAGCTTGCTATATCTAGTTTTTCTTGAAATGTAAATGAGTAAGTGAGGCGATTTTACTGGCCGGTCGTGGAGTGAACCAATTACACGATGAATATATAGCCAATCACCGGGAGAATGCAAATGACAAGAGACAACCAATTTTTTCTCCCGAGGTTCACGTTTGCCAACACGCTAGTCCCCGTTGTGTCGACCAACACTTGGTGGTTCGGGTGGCTAAGAGGTGTTTCACAAACCTCGTCCACACGATAGGACACCGCAAGAACCGACCCACAAGTGAGGTAACTCAATGACACGAGCAATTTACTAGAGTTACCTTTCGGCACTCCAGGGAAGGTACAACTCCCTCACAATCACCGAAGGCGCCACGAACAATCACCAACTCGTGCCGATCCTTCACCGCTGCTCCAACCGTCTAGGTGGTGGCAACCACCAAGAGAAACAAGCGAAATCCATAAATAAAACACGAATACCAAGT